TGAGCTTCTCTACCACCTCTTTCCACAGGTGTAGTAGATCTGATTCCCGTGTATCCCATCTGGTGAAGTCCACATGTATAGCTACCATTTATGTTGTTGCAAAAAAGGTATGTGCAATGAATAAGTCATTGGTCTTGCAAAGTCCTATCATGCAATCTCCAGCATCATTTCTGTCACCAAGGCCATATTTTCCAACTACTGATGATTCTTCTTGGTTTCCAACTTTTGCATTCCAGTCACCAGTAATGGTCAACATGTCTTGATTGCATGTTTGGTCAATTTCAGACTGCAGAAGTTGATAAAAATCTTCAATTTCCTTGGCTTTGGCTTTGGTGGTTGGTGCATATTTGAATAATAGTAGTATTAACTGGTCTTCCTTGTAGGTGTGTGGATATTATCCTATCACTGACATCATTGTGCTTCAGGATGGATCTCGAAATGTTTTTACAATGATGAATGTCACACCATTCCTCTTCAATTTGTCATTCCCAACATAATAGATCATATGGTTGTCTGATTCAAAATAGCCAAAACCCAGTCCATTTCAGCTTATTCATGTCTAGGGTATTGATCTTTATGCATTCCATTTCGTTTTTGACAACTTCCAGTTTTCCTAGAGTCATACTTCATACATTCAATGTTCTGATTATTAATGGATATTTGCAGCTGTTTCTTCCTATTTTGAGTCATTCCACATCAGCAAATGGAGGTCCTGAAAGCTTTACTCCATCCAGGTCATTAAAAAGAGTGAGGATGGTTTTTCTCTTTTGAACCTAAAGAGAATTATCTCAATAGTTACTTTGCTTTCAAGCTTCCATAATAGTTCTTTTTGTTAAAAATCATATAGATCATACACAAAAAAAAAAAAAAAAATCACACACTCACTGCCGTTGATGTGATTTGAAAAAAAAAAAAAAAAAAATCACACACTCACTGCCGTTGATGTGATTTGACTCATAGTGACCCCTCCTTGGGTGTCCAAGGCGGTATCTCTATGGAAGTAGATTGCCCAATCTTCCTTCCAAGGAGCAGCTGGTGGGTTTGAATCTCCAGCCTTCTGGTTAGCAGGCATATGCCTTAAGCACTATGCCACCAGAGCTCTCGTATAGATCATAGAGGAATTGAAATGTGCGCTTTTGTAGCATTTTAGCCAATTATACTCAAAAGAACTCTTTAAATTGTTAAAAAGCAAAGATGTCAATTTGAGGGCTAAGGTGCGCCTGTCCTAAGCCATGGTATTTTCATTTGTCTCATATGCATGTGAAAGCTGGATGATGAGTAAGGAAGACCAAAGAAGAATTGATGCCTTAAAATTATGGTTTGGGCCAAGAGTATTAAATATGCTATGGGCTACCAGAAGAACAAACAAATCTGTCTTAGAAGAAGTACAGCCAGAATGCTCCTTAGAATCAAGGATGATGACAATACTTTACCTCATATTCTTTGGACATGTTATCATGAGGGACCAGTCCCTGGAGAAGAACATCATGCTTGATAAAATAGAGGGCCTGTGAACAAGAGGAAGACTCTCAACAAGATGGATTTACATGGTGACTGCAGCAATGGACTCAAACATAGCAACAACTGTGAGGATGGGACAGGACCGGACAGTGTTTTTGTTCTGTTGTACACAGGGTCAGAACTGACCAGACAGCATCTAACAACAACAACAACATCAACACTCAGAATTTTCTTTCATCTTGGTTAGAATCTTGGAACCTCAAGGCCAAATATATCATTTTATCCAGTTCATTATTAGATACTTAAATCTACTCTATCGTACCTCTGATAAAAAGTCATCCTGCGTATGTTTGAACTTCACCACCACTCACTGCCTAATGAGGTAGTCTAAGCTGTCCTTTAAACTGCTTCTTCATATATAACAGAAATCTGTGTGATTGATTGCTACTCATTGGTCCTTTTTCTTGAGGCACCTAGAACATCTGATCACTATTCCCATAGCATTATATTCTAGTATTTGGAGGCAATTATTGTATTCTTGTTTTTTGGGGAGATCTAGTAATGCCCTTAGACCCAGGCAAGAGGGATTTCTGCTCTAAGGACTATGCTTCAGAAATCCCCTGTGCACATCTTCCAGCTACGCTCTGTGGAGCATGAGTGCATGAGAGCAATGGAGTTACTATTCATGAGGGAGCCTGCCACCTCCCTCACTCCCTGCTCCACTCTGCTCTGGGATCTGAAACCACAGCATACGCTACCAAGTGGCCTACACAAGGCTCTTCTCAGAGACCATCCTCTCAAGTACAGACTGCACAACCAATGTGTGCAATCCTGAAGGGTGGCCAAGGGGCAGCTATTCATTGGGGGGTGAAGGGAGAACAGGAGATGCGTGTCAATGGCATTTAGATGAGTTATTACATATGAGCTTCCACAGCCCCTTCTGATGTGGATGGAGCTGGGAGAGGGGACAAGCCAAGGCTGCTTCCTGCTGCCCTGAACTCTAAGAAGTTCTTATCTGAATCAAGTTTTCCAAGTCATTGTAGAGGCACACTTGTTAATACAGAAGGATAGAACATATTTCATTTAATAGTTTCAGCTTGAGTGGTAGCTTTAAAATATTTATACATATGATCTAAGGCCTTCATTTGTACTCTTGCTTCAGGCCCTGCAGATAGACATTCAGGGGTAAGCCTGATCTTCCCCAAACCAAGTCTTCAGTCTTTCAACTATTCATGGGGCATAATTTCAAGTCCTGTCTCTATTTGGTTGTTACCAGAACATGTTCAGAAATTTTTAAAAAAGGTGTTTCCTGTATGGTCTGCTCAAGCATTTTTTTCTTTTCCCTCATATTCCAAGTCAAGACACCACCAGCCTACATTATCAATATGTCCTTGAAATTGTTATTTCATACGATGTTAAGTCTCTACCAAAGCAGAAAGCAGTCATCTTTCTTTAAGATAGATGACTTTCACTTCTTTCCTTCTTGCTGAAGAATTTTGTTGCTGAAATTTTAATTCATAGTTATTTCCACCACAAATATAATAGTAATAGGCTTTCAAGGTTCCTTTCTTGGCAGTATTTTTACTCATAAAGAAAATTGTAGTTGAAATTAAAAAGGTTGAGAAATAGATTAATTTGCTGAATTAAGTACTTTTTCTTTCTTGAGCTACTTCATAGCCTTTGCCACTATCCTCTCAGCAGGTTCAGGTATGCTGTTCCCCTGCCTGTAGGAGCTGCACTACAACCCTAAGGCCTTGAGGAGGGCATTTGGTAAACCAGAGTAAAGGTCCTATCAGTAGGATTTTTTAAATTGTTATTAAAATTCCATGTAATTTATTAAACGCCAAGAAAATAAAGTTTGAATCTAAAGAAAGAATGTTGGTATGTATGAACAGTTGAAATCAGTATACCATTTTTGTAGCTTTAAAAGCAAATGATTTGATAAATTTAATGGAATAAAATAAATTGTATATAAAATATTTTATTATTTTTAAGTCTGTAATAGGGTTTTTATAAGTTTTACTTTTAGTATTTATGATATTTATGGATAATTATTTTTTTGCTGTTTTCCTTTATAGGTGAGTCAGCAGACATGTCAGGTAAGGAAAATTAAACATTTTCTGTTTTAATTATGTTGTTTAGTTATGATAGCCAAATTTTTATAAAATAATAAGATGCTTGAACCTATTTTATGACTTTCTTCGTGAAAACCACATCATTATGATGCCATGGTAATCAGTGCAGTCTACAATGATAATTTTAGTAGTAGTAGTTTTTTGGGTTTTCTTTCAATCTAATACATTTTTAACTTTTACCTGTGCCCAGCATTGTTATAAGGATTTTACATGTTTTAACTCATTTAATCATCACAAGAATTCTTACTTATAAATAGCATGTAAATGGTAGGCAGTAGAACTGGGATTCAAATTTATTCTTAAATATAAATCAATCAGTTTTATTGCTTAAGAATAAAATATTTTTAA